ATCCGTGGGCGACTAAAGGGTAAGGAGGGACGTCTCCGTCAGAACCTGATGGGAAAACGGGTCGACTTCTCTGCTCGTACGGTTATTACTGGTGACCCCAACTTGTCTCTGGACGAGGTTGGTGTGCCCAGGAGCATTGCTAGGTCTCTGACTTATCCTGAACTCGTCACGCCTTACAATATCCACAAACTACACGAGCTTGTGGCAAACGGACCCAATGAACATCCTGGTGCTCGATATGTTATTCGTGAGACTGGTGAACGCATTGACTTGCGTCACCACAAGAGGGCAGGTGAAATGGTTCTGCAATATGGGTGGAAAGTTGAGCGTCACATTGTGGATGGTGATGTTATTCTTTTCAATCGACAGCCATCTCTTCACAAGGAATCCATGATGGCCCATCGCGTTCGAGTCATGCCGTACTCCACTTTCAGGCTCAATCTTTCGGTTACCACACCTTACAACGCCGATTTCGATGGTGATGAGATGAACTTGCACGTCCCTCAAAGCCAAGAAGCGCGCGCAGAGCTCAAAGAACTTTGCCTGGTTCCGTTGAATATTGTCTCACCCCAGCGAAACGGTCCTCTGATGGGTATCGTGCAGGACACTCTTTGTGGAATATACAAAATCTGCCGTCGCGATGTCTTTCTGACCAGGGACGAAGTCATGAATATCTTGCTCTGGGTGCCCGATTGGGATGGTGTTATTCCAGAACCAGCAATTATCAAGCCCAGAGCAAGGTGGACTGGGAAACAGCTGATCAGTTTGGTTCTTCCTCAGGGATTGAACCTTCTGCGTGTCGACAAGGACAAGGCTTCCTTTGCTGAAAAGTTCTCCCCATTGAACGATAACGGTGTCCTGGTTCACGGCGGTCAGCTGATGTACGGAATGTTCTCAAAGAAGACTGTCGGAGCGAGCGGTGGAGGTATCATCCACACGATCTACAACGAGTACGGTTGGGAGGTTGCGCTAAGCTTTTTCAACGGCGCGCAAACTGTTGTCAACTACTGGCTCCTGCACAATGGCTTCAGTATTGGCATTGGTGATACTATTCCCGATCCTGGCACTATCTTGAAGATTGAAGAGGCGGTTCGCACTAGAAAGGAGGAAGTTGACACGATCACCGCTTCCGCAACGGATAATACTCTTGAAGCACTTCCGGGTATGAATGTCCGAGAAACGTTTGAGAGTAAGGTCTCTCGTGCTCTGAACAACGCTCGTGATGAGGCTGGTACGGAGACAGAAAAGGGTCTCAAGGATTTGAACAACGCTATCCAGATGGCACGTTCTGGATCCAAGGGATCGACCATTAACATTTCCCAAATGACGGCTGTTGTTGGTCAGCAATCCGTGGAAGGCAAACGTATTCCTTTCGGTTTCAAATACCGTACATTGCCCCATTTCACCAAGGATGATTATTCGCCAGAATCTCGAGGTTTCGTTGAGAATTCCTATCTCAGAGGACTTACTCCTACCGAGTTCTTCTTCCACGCTATGGCTGGTAGAGAAGGTCTTATCGATACTGCTGTCAAGACTGCAGAGACTGGTTACATCCAGCGAAAGCTTGTTAAGGCCCTGGAAGAGGTCATGGTGAAATATGATGGAACGGTCCGCAACTCTTTGGGTGACGTCGTACAGTTCTTGTATGGAGAGGATGGTTTGGATGGTGCCCACATTGAGAACCAGCGCGTTGATATCATCAAGTGCTCTGATGAGAAATTCTACGAGAGATTCCGCGTGGATCTGATGGATCCCGAGAGAAGTCTTGGACCCGAAGTGTTGGAGCAGGCCACGGAAATCGCTGGCGATGTGGACGTTCAGAAGTACCTTGACGAAGAATGGGAGCAACTTCAGAAGGACCGAAAATTCCTTCGTAGCGTTGCGAACCAAGATGAGGAAATGATGCAACTGCCAATCAACGTCCAACGAATTTTGGAGTCGGCGAAGACAACCTTTAGGATCCGCGATGGGAACATCAGTGACTTGCATCCTTCGGAAGTTATTCCACAGGTTCAGGCTCTACTAGATCGGCTTGTGGTCGTTCGTGGGGATGACGAGATTTCCCGCGAAGCTCAAGACAATGCGACGTTGCTGTTCAAGGCCCAGCTTCGCTCTCGCCTTGCGTTCCGTCGACTTGTTACGGAGTACTATATGAACAAGCTTTCCTTCCAGCATGTTCTTGGCGCTATCGAGAGTCGATTCTGCAAAGCAGGCGCAAACCCTGGCGAAATGGTGGGAGTTTTGGCTGCACAGTCCATTGGAGAACCCGCCACCCAGATGACGTTGAACACTTTCCATTTCGCTGGTGTTTCTTCCAAGAACGTCACTCTTGGTGTGCCACGTCTAAAGGAAATTCTGAACGTTGCCACTAATATCAAGACCCCATCTATGACTGTCTACCAGGAACCTGGCAATGCTATGGATAAGGAAAGTGTCAAGCAGTTGCGTAGCGCTGTGGAACACACGAGCCTCAGGTCCGTCACTGATTCTACCGAAATCTACTACGATCCCGAGATTCAGTCTACTGTCATCGAGGCCGATCGCGATATGGTTGAGTCTTACTTCATTATTCCTGAAGATGTTGCGGATGATTCTGCTCATCAGTCGAGGTGGCTCCTTCGTATTATCTTGAGCAGACCTAAGCTACTTGATAAAGGGCTTACAGTTCAAGACGTGGCTGGCCGTATTAAGGAGGCTTACCCTAAGGATATCGCTGTTATTTTCAGTGACAACAACGCGGACGAACAGGTCATCCGTATCCGACAAATCCAAGACACCAAGCAAGATGATGATGATGACGATACTGAGTATGACGTTACGCTTAAGAAGTTGGAGGCCCATTTACTTGATACTCTCACCCTTCGTGGTGTCTCTGGAATCGAACGTGCCTTCATTAATGAAAAGGAGAAGGTTCGCGTGCTTGATGATGGTTCTCTATTCCAGAGCAATGAAGACCCCTTGTGCAAAGAATGGGTTCTTGAGACCAGTGGATCTGCTCTTGGCGAGGTTCTGGCAATTCCTGGAGTCGATACTACACGTACCTACTCCAATCAGTTCATCGAGATTCTCGAGGTTTTCGGTATTGAGGCTACTCGTACCGCTTTGCTGCGGGAGCTGACCCAGGTGCTTGCATTCGACGGCTCTTACGTCAATCACAGACATTTAGCTCTTCTCATTGATGTTATGACAGCTCGAGGCTTCCTTATGGCTGTTACTAGGCACGGTATTAACCGAGCTGACACTGGTGCACTGATGAGGTGTTCTTTCGAAGAAACTGTCGAGATTCTGCTTGAAGCTGCAGCTTTCGGAGAATTGGACGATTGCCGAGGCGTATCGGAGAATTTGATCTTGGGTCAAATGGCTCCTGCGGGTACTGGTGAATTCGACGTCTTCCTCGACCAGAATGTCCTCAACTCTGTAGTGTCTAATAACGCTAGAATGGGTATCATGGGCAATATCGGGGTCAAGACTTCATTCATTTCCGATGGAGCAGCGACTCAGTACGACAACAGTTCGCCAATGCAAGAGAACGCCTATATTGGGTCACCTGATCCTGACTCTACATTCTCGCCCATTCGCCAGTCCGGTTCTGAGAGTCCGGGAGGATTTACAGAATATCAGCCTCCAGGATTTGGTGGGTTCAGCCCTCATGGTGCCCGGAGCCCTGGGTGGTCGCCAAGCAGCCCGTTCAATACCAGTCCCACATCTCCTGGCTACTCTCCATCTTCTGGGTACTCTCCGACGTCTCCTGGTATAGGCATGACAAGCCCTCGCTATATGACTTCTCCTGGGTTCTCCCCAGCCAGTCCGTCATTTGCGCCCACATCGCCTGCGTACTCGCCAACTTCTCCAGGCTATAATCAAGCCCAATCTCCTACCTCCCCAAATTACTCTCCCACTTCGCCAGGTTTCTCGCCCACTTCGCCGAACTACAGCCCAACTTCACCAAGCTTCAGCCCGGCGTCTCCAGCGTTTAGTCCTACATCGCCAAGTTATAGCCCCACCAGCCCAGCTATCGGAGGAGCTACTGGAAGACATCTGTCTCCAACTTCTCCTACTTCCCCCAAATACACACCCACATCTCCTGGTTGGTCACCCACGAGTCCAGAGGCTTACTCTCCAACGTCTCCGAACTTCTCCGGTTCACCAACATCCCCCGGTGGACCAACTTCTCCAGGATACAGCCCGACTTCTCCGGCATTTAATCCTAGCTCTACGTAAGTCCTTGGCCATGTTGCCTGTGATGCTTTATTTTTCTAACACCTATTACAGTTCTCCTCGCCAGTAGCTTCGCTTTGGCATCCATTTCTTTTCTGTATTCCGACGATTTCAGTTCACGCTGTACTACCACCGTTACACAATTATACCAAAAAAATAGTCATGCATCTTCAGGTTCCGGAGCTGGTTGGTTATTTCATTCTAACATGGCGTTTCTATTTCTCTCTTTCTTCTAATTTTCCCAATTTCTTCTTCGGAGGTTTCTTACCCTTTACCCGCCGCCCCCCAAAATTGCAGTGATTCTTGGGCAGGTTCATTTCATAGTTCGTCACAAAACACAAAAGTGAGACAGAAGATTGAACTTCATCTAGACGCCTCCGAGCGCATAATAGCATGGCGTTGGAGAGTATACTTCTCCTCAGGGCGTTCTCTTTGCAACGAGAGATCATTTTCTCCCGAAATTCTTGTACACAGATTAGCTAAAAGCGCTTAGGAAAATATAAAAAATAAAAACTTGCATATTGTTGAAGTTCTCCAGGGCTTGTAACCATGAGTGACAATAACTCACCCTCTCCGCCTTTTGAAACCTCTCTCTCGTAGATATCAGGCTCTCTGTCACTCTCCTCCCATCGGGCGTAGTGTCTTCGAGTTTCCAACGCTTCATCCTTCCACCTCCCGGTCTCTCTCTACTCGGAACATTAACAACACCCCTATCTGGACCAAAAACTACTAGCGGCACCTGAAGACGTAGAAACTATACAGTTTAAAAAAAACAAAAAAGTTGATCGAACTGAGGATCGAACTCAGGACCTTGACTGGATACACCAATGTGAAAGTCACGTGATAACCACTACACCATTCGACCTTTCTCTGGAAAATTATTTGAGAATTTTTGAAAGACAGGCGTGAGTGGGACATATCCATACATACCTTCATTCCTTCAGATAACAAAAAAATTTGACTTTAAAAATTGAACTTTCCACCACTTTGAGCATTGAACTGTCAGCGCGCAATAACACCTGCAGCTACTTTCAAAGAGACTCGGACTTCATACTAATTACTTCCATTTCTTTTCGCATTCCACACAGTCGCATACTGTCGCGCACACGACCCTTCAAAAATTCAAAACCCCGATCTCCTCATCCCACTATCACGACGCAGACATACCTCTCAAGAAAAGAGCATGCAAACACCATAACCACCCTAAAATGGACACAACAGCCTACCTCCTCCGCCACGGCTGGTCAGGTCCGGGCAACCCCCTCAACCCGAACAAACGCCCCGGCCCCCACGGCGGACTCGGCCTCACAAAACCCCTCCTCATCGCGCGGAGACAGGCCAAGGTCGGTCTGGGAAAGAAGGTGGGGAGGGATCATACGAATCAGTGGTGGTTGAGGGGGTTTGAGGAAGCGTTGAAGGGGGTGGGAGATGATGGGGAGGGGGTGGAAGGGTTTGTGGGAGGTGGAGGCAATTCGTTGGCTAAGGGGAGGAGTGAGCTTTATAGGTTTTTTGTGAGGGGGACGGGGTTGGCGGGGACGATTGGGGGGGAAGATAAGGAGGGGGGGGGAAAGAAGAAGAAGAAGAGGAAACGGGATGAAGATGAGGATGAGGATGCGAGTGAGCGGGATGCGGCGAGGGTAGCTAGGAAGGAGGAACGGAGGAAGAAGAGGAAGCTGAAGGAGGGGGAGTCGTCGCGAAGTGCCTCTAGTGAGGAGTCTTCCACAACGGAGACTAAGGAGGAGAGACGGATACGAAAGAAAGCGAAGAAAGAAGCGAAGAGGGAACGGCGGGCTGCGGCATCTGATGAGGAGAAGAAGGCTCGCGAGGATAAGAAGGAGAAGCGACGACGGCGGAAAGAGGCTGCCTTGGAGGAAGGAACCAGTCCTGTGTCAGAGGATGAGGAATCTGAAGCTAAAGAAGATGCCATCGCGAAGAAGGACGCGAAGAAAAAGAAGAAAGCAGCAGAGAAAGCAAAAATAAAAGAAGAAGAGGCACAGCGGAAGTCAGAGAGTTCTAGTGGCGATCAATCAAGCTCGGCAAAGTCTACGAAGATAAAAAAGAAGCACAGGAAGGAAGGGAAAAGGATAGATGGCAAATGAACACCGTTGTTGATCATGACATTATCATGCGGAACCTTCATCACTTTTCCCCGATATGTCTACAAATGTGGGGAGTTCTACATCCGAGTCCGAGGCAAACCTTTGCATCACGCTATTCACACAAAGACAGGAGTATCATACGACTTAGCAAGAAGCCAACGAGTACGATAAAGGGTCAAGATTGTGTCTCTTCAAACTCAGTATCTGGGTATATTGCACTACGATTGGCGATATACGGGTGGATTAACTAGCACCACCAGACAAGCCAGAGCTCAGGCTTTCTGCAGGCAACCTCCCAGGCTTATTCGATAGCAACCACGGCCGGTTGTCCCAGAAGTCATCTTGGATTATATCCACATGTCTGACCACAACTTGCGCCTTTTTACGATTTTTGCGGAGTTTCTCCTGCTGAGTCTTAGACATGGAGGTCTCCTCACCAGTTTCCTCATCATTCTGGGACACTTTCTCTTGCTTAGGCGTTTCCAGTTCGTACTAATGGATAGTTAGAAGATAGACAAAAGAATTATCAAAAATTTGAAGGGGGGTAATTACCTCTCGGAATATCACACTTCCTTTTCTGTACATCGCTGGCTCCTTGTTATAGTTGATTCCGTATGTTGAGAATAGGATTTCGTTCTTATCCGAAGATACGGTCCCCTTTGCAAGATATTAGAAGGAGTTCATAGCGTATAGAACGAAGGAAGTAAGGAGACCAGAGCACCCCTAGAAATGGGGGCTATAGTGTTATGTACCTTCAGCTGATTCTCCGCCTCCGTGTTGCTAATGCCACCTTTCAGAACCATGGTCCAGAATGTAGTGTTATAAAGGTTATTAATATGACCTGAGAGAAAAGATTATTAGCGTATGTTAAGGAGATATAAGAGATATTTGGTCATACAATCAGCTTGCCTCCAACTCATATAATCTCTCAAATTCTTGACACTGGGGTATAAAACAGCTCGACCATCGAAGGTCGGTAGATATCGAGGTTCTAGTGGAGTGTTCGGGAAGAATGAAGACCATTTGTGGATATAGTTTGCTGTGAAAGATGATACAATAGTGGAGACAAGTTTGCTATTGAGAGACAGAAGACGGAGGCAGTCAGTTACTGAAGAAGGCATGTCTTCCGGCATCATCTTGAAACCGCTCTAGTAAAAGCTTAGGATCAGGGCAAACGTACCTACTCCGCCGTTCAAAGAGCTGGCAATTTTTATGGAAGACAAAGCTGTCGTAGAGTCAGCATCCGCAACCCCTTATGTCAACCCAGAGTAAGCTTACCTAAATTCATCACTAACTCCATAAGCAATAGTCAAATCTGGAAGATCCTTTACCACCTCTACGGCGGCTGCATTCATAAGATCCAACGCTCTGGGATCATTGGGCTTCTCGAATTGATATTTATCGGACAACCTTTTTCGAAGCAAGTCAGAAATGACAAGAGTTGCACGATAGAACAATTGGAATAAGACGAGTATCTTATCTTACTGTAATAGTAAGATCCACATGGAATATGCCGAGGATATGAGGGCCAATATCGACTTGAGTCCCTCATGGAGAGCTGATATAGGGGTACCAAAAAGGGGGGAATGTTCCAAACAAGGAAGGGCATAAAACTGACTTGTGGAATCCTCTTCCATCAATTCGAACAACAATCCACGTATTGGGAAGCAGAGGGTCATTTTGTTCAAAAGACCTCACATATTCGTATCTGGCAAAAGACGTTAACTTTGGAACCTCAAGATTTCATGACTTGAGTGTACGGGTGGGGGGAGATGATAAGTGGGAAACTTTACTTCGAATTTGCCATCTCGATAGAGACTACTAGAGTGGTAACGTCGCAACTCAACCAAGTGTTGATCGTGATTATCGCGGGTATCTTACTCCTGGATGTAGATGTAGATGTGGGAGTCAAATCCGATGTCCCACCACGAGCACTGAGTAAGGGAGGCTAACTAGCCAGGTACTAGCGTGCATTACTAAAGCGTGTCATCCGTCAACTTTATCTTATCAGATAAGTCAAGTTCAACATCCCTCCATCTCAAGACAACCTCTTACCTGAAGGACTGATACGATACAATTGCACCACCATTGAGCTGTCTTAGATATGATCTAGTCCCAATGACTGTCTAGGTCTAACACACTGATCATACCTGTACTTATACCGAGAGAAACTCAAGAATGACTGACAACATTCACTCCGTGAAGCGTCGCCGTCTTGACGCAGCCGCTTCAACCCTCTCTAAACCTTTCAAATCGCCATTGCGAGCTCGAATTGAGAAGACAGATGACGCAGAAGCTCAACAGCCTACTGCTGGTTACATCACTAAAGAAACCAGCAAACCTGATATCACCGACGACAAGGAGAATATCCAAACCCAACCCCAAACCCCACCCAAGCCCGCAACTACACGCCCTACCCCCTACTCATCAGCCGTCTCAAAACCCTTCACCCACCAATCCCCAACACTAACTCCCTCAAAAGCATCCACCCCAGTCTTCAAACAAACCCGCACGTCCCCACTCTCCTCATCATCATCCTCAGACCCCCACCTCTCCTCCCTAATTTCCCAACACTCCTCCCTCCTCACCCGCCTCTCATCCCTTAGAACAGAACTCGACACTACCCGCCAAGCACTAAAAATCGAGGAGTCAGGCCGAGACGCGGAATTGGAGGAACTAATCACGAAATGGAAGGCTGCGGGGAGGATGGCTGCTGAAGAGCTGTATTCGGGGGCGAGGGAGAGGGTTAATCGGATGGGTGGGGTGGGGGTTTGGAGAGAGAGGGTGGAGGAGGGGAATAGGAGGAGACAGGAGTGGGATCGGGGTGGGTTTGATGGGGAAGAGAAAAATCCGGAGGGTGGTGAAAATGGTGAGGAGGATGGGGAGAGGGAGAGGGAGGATGAGGAGGGGGACGGTGGAAAGGATGAGGAAGATGTAATTCTTTTCCGTTCCTTCGACCTGCCTGCTTTGTTGGATTCTCGAGAGTTTGTTCCCTCATGGTGGAGATGCGCTAACATGGACCGTGGACAGTCGTTTACGATGGATATGATGCTCAAAAGCTTGAATATCGAGCTGGGAGTCATTGGCTTCGATAAGGTCAATCAGCGCTGGGTTGATTGATGTAACTTTCCATAAGTTTCCTGTTCACGTTGCAGGGAAGGTGGAATATTCACAGGGGCTATTCTGTGGTGTTAGTGGTGGAGAGCTGAGAGAAGATTATGATAGGTATGTCTTCGCGAAAGCAATGCTTTCATCTTGCTGATAAGTTCTCTCACAATGAAGATTGCAAGAGATTGCGTATAGAGCTAGGCGAAAGCTTTCTGAAAAGCTTGAGGCATAGCTCCTAGAAAGGGTTGAGAAACGTCTTCCTAGATGAAGGCACACCGCCACTAGCACGGTTGAACCCCTATTTAATGATAGTATCATAGCAGAGTCTTATTGTTACCCTAAAAGGAGAGTCATGAATAAAGATACAGTATATCTCTTATATATAAAGAAATGGAAAAGGAGAAACAGAGAGCTTCGCAGCATCATCTACTTCTGAATGAGCTCATCGAACACTTGTCCAATAACCTTAGCAGACTTCTTCGGTATCCGCTTCTGTCCGTTCTCGTAGTCGACGAATGTGACACCGAAACGGGTGACGTAGCCCTCCGCCCATTCGAAGTTGCTGTCGAAAACGTTAGTTACTTTTCCTGCCAAAAACACAGTGTACTAGGGGGGGCCGTAAACATACTCCATCAAACTCCACGCCATGTAACCCCTG